GAGTTAGACTATCGGCCCACCGGGACAAGTCCCGGTATCCCGATATCCCAATCCGCCCCTGAACATATTGTATTAGGGTGAAATTGTGTATTTGAATGCATAGCTAAATAGGCCAGGCCTAGTTTTTCTCTACATTTGTGGTCCAAACAAAAACTTGTGCAACTTTCAAATGTGCATTTTAGAACACAAAAACAATATCAATGACTAGAATAGAATGTCCCAAGTTTACTTTCATTTAACTGACTTTCTAACTAAGCTACAAGTAGGGTAAAAACATTCTATAAAAACATTCCTTTCAACTATCGTCTACTGCTGCCAAATTAAACAGGACAGTTGCAAGCTTGTAATAGAAAAAAAAAGTTCTTTCTACTGGTTATAACCACGTGCACCAAATAAGAGTATATGGTTTTGAATACTGCCTTGAAAGATAAGCAAGGCTTCTGCCACGGATTGGAAAATATATTGCTAACTCTGCAAAGTTCGGACATTAAAATTGTACATTTGACCTTGTTATTATTTATAGCTTCTGTTTACAGATACCATAGAAGCTATTGAAGTTACACACACTAAGAGGGATATGCGAGAGTGCACACACACATCACATTACAACATAAGATTGAGAATTTGTTAAATACTTCCTCTTGAAATTAAAAAAGTAGAATGTAAATAATACTTGCAACCACCATAAAAAAAATAGGAAATAAACATAAATTATACCTCTTTCATTCTATAATGAACACAAATTATAACACAAAAACATAAATGTTTAGATGAAATAGTTTAAATCTCATAACATTATACATTTATATTTATTATTTTTATTATATTGACCTTTCACCAATGCCTGGCTAACAATACAGAAGTTACAACGACAAAATAATTTGTCTTGGCTGTGTTTTAGTCGACTAGTATTTTGTAAAATACAATCACATTTCAATTATTATACATTATATATGTAAACAGATTATTGCTATTCTGAAATAAGTTTTATTGTTATTTTTCCTAAAACATAGAACAGTAAATAAAGAAGTAAAGCACACTATTATCTCTCCTAGTTACGACCTCTGTACTCAGTTGCTGCTTGACGTAGGTTGCTAAGCCTTTAAAAATTTTGCATGTGGAGTATATGGAACAAAATATTTTTTTTAAGTCTTATATATATTTAAATAATTAAAAAATCATAAATTACTACACCAATACCATAGAATTCTACTATAATTTATAAAGCTCAGTAACTGAGCTGTATTTGGGTCTAAAAAAATATGAAATTTCGAGCACACTAAAGACACAACATATCTCATTGAAATCTTGATTCAAAAGAAAGAAATGGTGCTAGGTACATTAGAAAAGCTGAGAGAACCACTAGGTGGAAATTTTGAACTTCCAATTGGTTATTCATGTCATATATAGAAGTAAGTGTATATAAGGGAGCGTTTCCAAAAATGGAAAGAGGTGAGCGGGGTGCCACTATGTTTGATTTATTATGTGAGCAAATAGAAAAGAAAAGACCTTCTGATTTTATATTCTAGCTTGTGAATATCTGTAATTTGAGTTTCTAATTCGTACAAAACTATAGTCTTAGTATTTTGACTTCACAAACATCTAATTTGAACCAGTGCTGCATTCAATGTACCACATGACACACAAAAATCGATGTTTATCTGTGGTTTTTTTATATTTACTTTTAAGTTAACAAATTGAGTAATGTATAGTTCTAAAATTTGAATTATAATCTACAGTTTGATACCAAACTTATTAACATAAATTCATAAAATAGTAGTTCAATAAAATCTTGAATGTGAGTAAACAAATGAGATGGCATGGCCTGTCTCGAAAAGGGTTAGTTAAATTTTGAATGTAACTCTGTAAAACATCATGATGCCCATGCTGAAAGGGTCAACATTTCATAACACCTTCAACACTTTGTGTAACATATCAACAGTTTGCATCACAAGCATTAGGTCCAGTTATTCTAACTGTATAAAAAGATCAAAGCAAGTAACACCTTAAGATAATTGAAAAAAACTTTTAATAGCTCACCAAAGCCTAGTCTGCACCAAATAAATTCAGATATCTCACTGTTACTATTACAAGTGTAAGTTCCATTTTTATTGTAATGTTTAGTCAATAACTGCAGCTGTTTCAATCTAAATAAACATTCCAGTTAGAACTGTATACTTATTTGAAATTGTCTTTAACTTACCTCAAGGCTAGAATCCAGCTGAGCTGTTAACTCATTGTTAAATGAACTACTATCAGAATCATGACTGGTTTGGGATTCTGTTGCAATTTTTAATGATACATTATTAAGGCCATTATTTCTCATAAATGTCTTGGTTTCACTATTGTCCCCATTTCCAACATGTGATTGTTCACTGCTCTTAAAAGAGCCCGAGTTGAAACGTCCACCTTCCCCTCTAACTCTATTCATAGCATGCCTGTGTCTGGACTCATGAAGGTATTTCTGAAAATTTGAACGAAGGAATGAAAGGTTATGTTAAACTGCTAATTTTTTCCAAAAACAGAAAGAAAGAAAAATTTTAAAATGCACTAAATTTCAAAACCTTTGAGATACTATGTGGTGTCAAAGAATCATTTATTTGACTATTAACTACATTTAGTTAAGTACCTAAAAAATATGAAAGTTTTTAATTATTACTGAAAACATCTTGAAATACTCTCTAGAATGATGTGAATAACAAAATGAATACTAAACCACAAATGAATGAATATTTAAGCACTAAACCCATGAACTAATACTTATTGATTTCACAAACCAAGATCAAGTTCAAAATAAACTTAAAAATGATTGGACAGTCTAATCCATTATGTGTTACACTTTCTCTTAAAGTTAGACTTACTAAATATTGATAAATGTGTAAGTTACATCACAATCCCTAGAAATATAGTTCTCACCTATTTTTTTTTTTTTATAAATATTTGGTTTTGAATCTAAGTTTCAAATGGACAGCAACTACCTGTTGTAGAAGCCTACATGTGTAGAGGATGATGTTTCCAAAGTCTTCTGACCTGAAGACGAAAAACAGAAGACTTTCGAAACGTCATCCTCTACATTTGTAGGTTTCTACAACAGGCAGTAGTTGTCCATTTGAAACTTGGATTCATTATGAATACTCTGCCTAAACAACCTATCAAAGACATTTGGTTTTCTTTTAAAATTTAAACTTCTTTCTAAATTCTTATCCAACATAAAAGACATCGCAAATAACATTTATTTTTTATTCAAGTTTTACTTCAGTTGATAAATTCATTACCTTCAGGTTTAATATATGTTTTTATTTCCTTCATATTTACAATGAAAAATTCAATGTTTATAACTCATTCCACATCAGCAACAGAAAGTTCAAGCTCAGGTACATAATGCTGAATAAAACATTTAAGTACAAACACTATAATAATAAAAGTAATAATTTTAAAGAAATAAAAAAGTAATACATCAAAGAATTAAAATCTTAATATATTTGTTTAATGGATTTCACAAACCAAAAATGGAAGCAGAAGTTAACATTTTCCTAAATTGAAAAATGTATTTCCAATAGTACTTACCTCTGCTGACACTTATAGCTATTCCTCGACCACCAGGGTTTCTTCTTTGCCCATCTAAGCATTAGTCTGATTTTTTCTCGCTTGCTCCAGTCTTTTATACCCCACTCAATTGCCATTGGCGATATACTCTCCACTTACATCAATGAGTCCTCTATCCTGGTATTGTACATAAGCACCTCATTCAGATACTTTTATCACTTTTTCGAGACTGATACCATCCCAGTTCTAACACCAGCTCTTAGTGGGGAGGAAGGGTGGGAGAGTGTCAGCAGAGGTAAGTATTATTGGAAATACATTTTCAATTTTGAATGATGTTAATTTACAAAACATACTTACCTCTGCTGCCACTTATAGTTAGAATACCACATTGAGAAGGTGGAGGGCATTATCCATACAGAAAGCATATGCACAGATCATGGGTGTACCAAGCTAAGAGTGGTACCCAAGTGGGGAACAGCACTACATCCAAAACAGGTATGCTCTTTACCCTGAACTTAATTCCTGTATCAAGGACTAAATTGTACATGAGTGACCATCACTGTACGCCAGCCCCAACCAGATAGCCACGGTTCCACTACTCTGAGTTGGAATTAAGGGGCCTTGGTCCCTATATCCCATGTTGGTGGCTAGGGCAATTGGACCACAACATTATATATAGATATACTTTTGATTGGATCTCAACCTATAGCCAGAGAATGATGCATTCCAAACTATCAGAAACATGATGAAAAAGTAAGTAACACCAAAGTGGACAAACTTTCTCCTTCACCTGAAGATGCCCGAAAGGCAACACCCCAGGCTTGGGATGATGGGATTGTGTATGCTGTATTCAACCAAAGGAACAGAACTCATCCAGTTTGGAATTATGAATATTCATCCTCACTTCCCAACCAAGGGGGCAAGGAGCCTTCCACTTGCCCCTGAAATTATGGGTAGGACATAGAACAACTGTGCTCAACCAAAGATCAAGGGACCACTCCACATTCAGAATTACTAGGAGATAGTGGACCTCTTTCCATGAAAAATATACTGAACCAATATTGATCAAAAGGAAGGACCATGCACTCTCCAACCGGATAGCCGAGAATTGAATCTGAACCAGTATTATGAATAGGCTGGTGCTGCTCCTACTGATATCTGAGGAAAAACATTCAGGGACCCAGGTAGAAGGGCACCCAACTTCACCCTCTTCTCCAAGAGTGGAGGAATTCACTCTAATACTCTGGAGAAAAAGCCTAACCAGTGACTGGAAACCAAGTGTGGTAAAGACTCACTAGTTCCATTAATGCATGTTTGGGAGTCCTGAGGAACAGTGCAAAAGCAAACTGATCCTGATTAATTCAATCTAATGATCAGCAGGGATGGGCAGGATCCTTTTCAGTTTTACTCATGACAGTCCATGAGTAATACCACCTGGTAAGCTCCTAGGTGGTCTCAAGGAACAGCTCATTTCTACAGAGCCTGTTGCAATTGGTAATAATTAGAGTGAAATAGTGTTTGCCAGTGCAGAATTGTTTTGATAAAAGCACACCTTTCTGGGAAAAACTCACCAGGATGTGATGGTCTAACAATTGACGAGATGTTGCCAGCAGTAACCAGTCGTCCATGGAAGTGTGCACACGGAACAATAGAATGAAGGGTACAAGATAACTCATATGATACAGCAGAACCCATGTTAAGCCTATGCAAGACCGAAGGCAAAAACCCGGAACTGCAGTACTTGACCCTTGTGCACCACAAACTCTTGATTGTGGTGGGACTCCCCCACTAAGGCAAAGTGCAGATAGGAGCCTACTACAACCAAGTTAGACATCTACAATCCCAGTAAAAAGAATCAACACAGATCGAGGAATGATTAACTTATGAACCTTGGAGAATCTATGCATTGATATAGACAAGGAAGATCGATGACTAGACCCCAATCTCTTGAAGAACTAGCCCGACTCTCTCACAACCCCCAGACCAACCAGACTCAGATAACCCTAGAACTAAGTTCCGAATCCCGTTGAACTGTGGAAGATGGAAACCCTACAGATTGGGTCAATAATAGTAGAGAAAATGTGAACTGAACGACCATTTGTGACCCAAGGACCTACAGAGCTTCTGGATTGATGGCTAAGATTACCACACATCCAGAAATTATTGGAACTGAGCCTCACCAGCTCCTTAAGATATACAATAATCACCAACGCTGCTGGTGATCCGACTAAGCAGTGGAAACCATGGATATAAACAGAATCTATTCTATGTGGCAATGTATTGAGAAGCTGATGTCGGGGATCAGTACTCACTAATAGGGGCGGAACTATGACCCCCCCCTGTAGGAACCAATGAAATTGGAGACTCCAACAACTACCAGGTGGAATGTAGAAGCCAAAAATTGAACCAACATGCATGCTAACAATGGATCCAGCTCATCCTCAATGAAACTGGTGATCCTAAGAGCCTACTAACAAAGTGAAGTGAAAGGAAACAAAATGTTGAAGTTGAATTGTAAGTCGATAGACTTACTCTGTCCCATCAGAGGACATAGACCTATATAGATGAACTACAAATTCCACTTTAGAACCTTGAAATTCGAGAAGCAGATATTATATGAGAATCAAAAAAATGCCTCCAACTGTTGGTGGTGGTAGGCAAAACCACAAAGTTCCGACAACATGTCAGATGAGGTCTAACTGTTTCTTCACATAAATAAGAAGTAAACCTTCCGGCATGAACCAGAATTTCCATGTATGGAGAACAAAAAAAAAATTTCAACCATCAATTTAAGTAGCAGGCTCAGAAGCAACAGGAAAAAAGCCCAAAACATCACACACTCGAAGAACTAACAAAAGAAAAACAAATCAAAGGCAGCTTATCCCAAAGTGGCCTCCTTGTCATTTTTCATAGGTCATTTAAAGACCATGGTAAAGTAAGTTGTTTTGTTAGAGCAAAGCAACTGCGAGCCATCTGCCACATCCATCCTAGGGAATCGAACCCTGGCATTGCAAGTCCAGAAACTTACCATTGCCCACAGAGGGGCAGAAAATTCAACAGATTAAAAGAAAGTACAGGAAAAAGCGAATCTAAAGTCTCTCAAAAATGTCAAGGATCACTCTCAAATGCAGCCTCAGAGCCCCCCAGAGGACTACCACAGATCTAAATATATGTCTCCATCTCACAACAAATAAGATCACTGACAGTTTCAACCGAGAGTGACCCCCCCTCCCCCCGATTGTTGTGTGATGCTAGATATCAGAGGTTTGAGAAAAGAGACACAACTGGCCTCCGTGCCAGGAATAATAATCCAGGAATTCAAACCATAATCAACTTGCCAATTGGAAGGAAAAAAAAAAATTTATTATTAATTAATTATTTATTATTATTATTACGAAATCAACTAGATAACACGATAACGTTCAAAGTAGCTCTGAATGATCATAATACTGGGAAACACATTAGTGACGCTTTGTCGAGAAAAAATGATAAAATTATCTGAATGAGGTGCATAAATACAGTATCAGGATAGAGGGCATACTGATGTATGTATCACAAGACAATTATCACCAAGAGCAATTGAGTGGAGTATAAAAGATTGGAGCAAGTGAGAAAAAATCAAACTAATGCTTAGATGGACAAAGAAGAAACCCTGGCAGTCAATCAATAGCTATAAGTGGCAACAGAGGTAAGTATGTTTTGGAATGAATAATATAAAGCTATACATATTATCTTTTCAATTAAAAACAAACTGTAATAATAAAAACTTTGGAAGAACAAATTAAAAACTATCTAACCACACTATATAGGTTTTGTTTCTTTGTTTTTAGTTCAAAGCTACTCTATATTGGGTCAAGGACCCACACCTTAGCTACCAGAATCAAGGAGCATGCACATAACAGCCCTTTCAATAACTCTGGAATTTACAACCACCTAAGTAAAGACTGTAACGAAAAACCAAACAGTGAACACTTCAGAATAATAGACTCGGCAAAAGATAAATGGATGCTAAGAAAAAAAAAGGAAGCACTCCTAACTCGTAACCTACAACCTAAGCTGAACAATCAACTAGCTACGTCACTGCATCTCTAACTATGATCTACTCATTGTGCTTGAGATGGGCAAATAGTGAAAACTTCATCCAAAGAACAAATGTCAAAGCTACTCAATGGGCTATATGTTCTCTGTCCACAGCAGGGAATCAAACACAGGATTTTGAAATTATAACTCTGTGAACTTACTGCTTACCCACCTGAGGACTAACAAAAAATACTTAAAGTAACTACTAAAAAGGTATTATAATAATAAGCTCAAGCTCATTATAACCTTGACTAGTTTAGAATTTTTTTTATGTAGTTGAGTTCATCAATAGATATATTATGAATCATATGAGACAATCACAATTAATTATTTTTCATAACATTCATTTTTTTTAATATAGCCAATAATAGCTTACAGACTGCCTACCAATTCCAATAAAAATAGTGCAGTTTAATAGATCTTTGTTAAAACATTTTTTAGATATTTTTTCATAACGATTCACTCACCCTCCTCTCCTTGGGGATTCTTCCTTCAGCCTCTAATTTTGCACGAGCCTGCCTCCTTTTCAGTATTCGGTGATACTGTTTAGCATTTACATATAGTGGTTCTTCTTCCAATAACTCAGCACCCGGTAGGGGTAACCTCTGTAGAGCCTGTAATCCTCCGGTACCTGCTATCACCTAACATACACACATGTAGACAGGCGCATAATTGAATTACCTTTTTATTTACTTTTACTACTCATAAACAAGGCTCGTCAGATAAATTCCCTGGTGCAACCCTAGATCCCAACCCCACCCTGTATGTCTCTTATCAATCAAAGTTTTATCACAATTTTTCACTCTTCCAAATCTAATTCAATACTACCCCTTTTACAATCCACTGTCATTTCTCTTTTACAATTATCACCACCATTACCACAGGCATTTAATGTTTGTATAACCCAAAACCTGTGAAAACAATTTCGATAAGAATGATATCATTGAATTACATATCAGTAAGGTATAAAACGTCAAGTGGGTTGCATCCTTGACGTAAGAAAACAGCTTTAGAAACGATGGCAGAGCAAGATCTGCCATCGGCTCTACGGTCCGCACGGACTATGGGAAAAAAAAAAAGGTATAAAACATCATATTAAAATAAGTTAGGCCAACCAGTTCTTCATGATTCAATATTTCGTTTAATTATTGTCAGATGCAGTTTTCAAATTCAGATTACTTTGTGAATTTCCTGCTCGATCCTCCTATTATTAAGTGGACCCATCCAATACTTGTGAGGAAATCAGTTTACATGAAAATATCTCAAGTAGATAAGAAGGAAACATTTTGGTGCCATAATCACAGGAATTATAGCAACGTTTATGTTTCTGTTAATGTATGTACTGGCACTTGTTTGATCTCTTGAAAGAATGGATTATTCTGTAAGTAAAAGTATTTGCAACAACCAAGAGGAAAAGTTTGCTGCTGGAGACAGATGGTTGTACAAGAGAGATGTTGAGTCTAAAGTCCTCTCCTGGACATAAGACTTGTACCAATGCTGCCATCAATCACCTTACAATAACAGACTCAAAAAGATTTACTAATGTCTGGAGCATCCAAACTGATGGATAAAACTATGCTCTTGATGATCAGATTTAGTGCAAGGGAAGCAGGAGCAACTGAGGTTGTCATAGTGGAATGACACCTGGTGAGTCTAAGACCACTTGGGGGGGGTCTCTATAAGACTCCCAGGCTGTCACCAGCCAGAGTTCTGATCAAGACCACCCATGACCTGCCAAAAACAAAAAAGAACTGGAAGTACCACTGGTGATTACCATTGCTAGTCAGAGCTGTTTCCTTAAAGGGTGAGACAACTGGCACAAACAGGGAACCACAGAGCAGTGAGCCTCTCCCTCTGGAGGTACATCAGGAATGTCAACTACGACTTACATCAAAATCTTGGGTCAAGCAAGGCTGTATGACAAATTTCTACCCTGGAACAGGAACAAGTGTCTGTCTAGGTATCAGTGTCCATGAATACATCTGTTGCCTAGCGCCCATGAAATTGACAGCATCTCAGCCAATCACTGCCTGAGAACCCCCAAGAGGGAGGCTTCAGCCAGTACCACAGGTTTCTGTGAACAAAGTTATGCAGATTATGCTCTCGATGTTCAGAGGTATAAAATAAAAACTGGGGACATTTCCTGAAGCATTTCAGGCAGGGTTAATATTAATGGATGCTTCAGAACCTAAATAAATTATATTTATTTCAGCAAACGAAAACATTGTTAGTGAAAGTGTTCTGGTAAATTGTTTATTTGTTTGTAATTATGCACGAAGCTACACAGAGGTATCGAAACCCAGTTTCTAGCATTGTAAGTCTGCAGACATACTGCTGTGCCACTGGGGGGCATTCTAGTAAATAAATAACATGTTACCTTTATAATTATGGGTTTTCTGTAACATCTATTTTTTCCTTGATCTTTGATATGAATAGAATCCAATAAAGTAATAAACTTTATGAAACAGTGACAAAAATATACTTCTGTAATATGATAAGACACTGAGAAAAACAACATATTTTTAAGTAAATAGAATCTCTTTGATAATTAACACCTCATTGAAAATTAGGACTACACACCATTACAATGTTTCCAGACTGTAAATTTCCTGATGATGGGATTGATATGGATTGTGGACTTGTCCCTGTAGTAGCTGTGCTAGTTGTTGTCTGATGGTGAACAACCTGAGGTGTTGCTGGAGCAACAGAGACAGCTGGTATTTGAATAATTCCTGAAAAAGTGCATTTATATCATCCTTACTGAAAGTGTAAACATATTGTATTTAAAAAGTTCATAGCAGAATTTGAAAGAAACAAAGTTTTTTAAAAAATAAACATTCATAAACATCACCTAAATTTAAACTAATTTTTTGTCTTTAACTGTTAAAGAAAAGTGTTAAAGCAATAATAAAACTTCCAATTTCAATAATCAACATATTTTTGTTTGCTGGGTACTTTTCAATCAAGCTAATTAATTGCTCCAATACAAAATGTAATAAGCATTTCTATGTCACACAATGCTAACTTTTAAGTTGCAAGGGTCAGTTGATAAAAAATGGCCTGAATAGATTTTTATATTCAGGCAGGCTTGAATATATATTATCTCTTGCATAAATTATTAAAGTTTACAGATAACTTCTTTCTAATCAGAGAAATACATTGCACAAAACAATTATAAGACTGGAACTTATAATATTTTAACTATGACATGGCAAAGTCACTGTTGTAAAATGATCTCAATTTTTTCCCTCACTTCATTTTGACACTTCATGATGTGTGGGATACAAGTGTGGCCCTCAGACACCTTCAGTGACTTGCAAGACTTCTTTACCAGTCACAAGGAAAAGATGAGTTATGTGTATGAAACATATTTTAGGATGTTGGGGGAGGGGTTAAGTTTGATCCCCTAGACAACAAAAGTGGATTTGCCAGTTGCCCACCACACAAATAGTATGGGCAGATTGGGACTAACATTAATTACTTAAAATTAGTGTTGATAAATTCCTGAAAGATATTTCTAGGGCATATTTAGTATCTAGAGTTATATACGCTCAATGGAATTGAAGTCTGGAGCAGAAACATTCCACTCCATACAGACATTTCCCTCTTCTTAAAAAATGGTGTTGACCAATACAGCACAGTGGGATTGTGCATTATCATATATCAAATCGTGGACTAAACTGTACCATAAAATCAGATGTTAATAAAAACAGACTTGTGAAAAGTACTGACATATCATGGACATAAAAGATTGCCAAGCACCTAATGGAGGAATTTTCCTACAACACTGCTACTTGTTATCTTATAATCAAGGATAAGAACAAGAAAACTCGGAAGCCCTAAACTTTTCAACAAAATGGGAAAGATCTCAGTAAAAGCTTACAAAGTTAAGCTTTATTGCTCAGCTGAATGATCTGTAACTTCTGTGTATCTACACCTCTAATTTAGTTCATAAAAGAAACAAACCAATTTGTGGTATTCTAATTTACAATGATTTATACAGTAGTAATATTATAGTGTCTCTATCTTACCACAATGTCAAAGCTGCAATAAAACAAAATTTGCTAAGAAAAGTAAGTACAAAGAGTAAAATGTAGAAAAGTAGTTCACAAAAATTTGGATTTTCTCGGGTTCAGTATGTGTCTTTTAGCAATGAAGAACACAGCATTGCTGGTAACATTCTCATCACTTTCAAATTTGTCTAAACAACATTCTAAACTGATTAAACCCATTTGTACACAAATATGAATAAAATAATATCAACACATACAGCAGTAGTTTCAAAAAACAAGCCAAGAATAATATCTAAATTAACCTTACCTCCCGGACTTTGAATAAAGCTAGTGCCATCTACAGTCATTGGTTGATAAACCAGTGTCTGACCATCAGATGTCTGAATAAATTGCCCTTGTTGAGGTTGTTGGATAATGATCTAAAAATTATATACAAAAATAACCAATTCTCCTGATGACAAAAAATTTATGGTATAAAAAAACAAGAATGTTTTCAGATTTAAGATACTTATATTGGATTTATCAACAAATGGGTTAAAAGCAAGCTGGTAAAACATTCTTAATGTACACTAGCTTACTAACGATCATAAACTAGAGCTGAACTGATTTCATATGAATTATCTTTAACATTATAATATCCTCTACAGATTTCACAAACCATAATGTATAGTTGAAGTTGGTACTTCCAAGATAACTCTAATGAAAAAATTCTGTCATGCCCTCAGTTTCTGACATCTCAGCTTTTTGGTGTTAAGGTGACTTTGGAGAGGATAAACATACAAGTTTACTATGTTGGGTAATACCAACCTCTTGGGTAGTGGTACCAAACTGTTGTAAAAAGGAGGAATCCTGCATCAGCAGCATTAACAATTACAACACTAGTGTCAGGTTACCACTAGCTACTGTTGATATCCCAATACTGCCAACAAAAATGAAATGACGATAGCCAAAGACTACCTTCCTAACAAGTAGGTGGGATATGTTGTACTAAATAAGGAAGCTGAAACACTCCCACAGTAATTTGTTAATTAATGTTTTAAAAGATGTTTATTTTGCTGAACTTTATGCAAAGCTACTTGAGGGCTATTCGTGTTAACCATCCCTAATTTAGAAGTGATAGACTGGATGGAAGGCAGCTAGTCAACACCACTCACCACCAACTCTGGTTACTCTAATCAAACAGTGGGATTAACCATCAATTTATAATACCCCTATAGCTGAAAGGATGAGCTTATTCATTGATGGGATTTGAATCTGTGACCCAAAGATTGGAAGTTAAGCACACTAACCAAAGCCCTTAGTTTGTGGATAAGGGTTTGCTTCAGACTGATTTTGGTATAATTTCAAGACTCATTGCTTCCCTAAGCACTCTGCCACATCAGTTTTCTGCCTACATAAAGAATGCTGATGGTTATCTTTTTTGAAAAATGCTGCATCCTTTAGCTTTATATTGTTTAACATTTTCATTTAAAAATATTGTTCTTAAAAAAAATGCTGAGACATATCCTTCCACTCAAAAATCAACATATGGCAACATCAAACAGTCGAATGGCTACACTCTTCCAGTAAGTCACACAGAAAGCTACAAAATGTGCAACTATATTAACATATATATAAATTATGATATTAATCCTCTGTAGTTCTTTAATTTTTTACTAGTAGGTGCAAGTCAGCAAAATACAAAATAATTCTAAATGCATCTCAAACAGTACAAACCTAACTCAACACATATAATTTTTTAAAGCTTTTCTCCATTTTTTAGTCGGAAATCAAATTAATACAAATTTTGGTTCCAATAAGAATATATACAGTTGCTAAGAAGCAAAAACAAGTCTCATTTCATGAATTTGATACATGTAACAGGAAAAAAGAAAATTATTTACATAGTATACATTACCTGTTGAGGTTGACCTTGCTGCCCCTGAATCTGGCCAACAGGAATGACCTGAATCTGTACATAAAGAAATATAACACACACATATATATATATATTACATATATGAATTTCAGCTAAACTCAAAATGCACACAACACTTTAGTACCTATTACAAATGTCAAAGTTTATTTTGTGATTAATTTTGAAAAACATGAAACAAGCTTGGAATTTACATAATACAAGAAAACAGTCCATTAACATACATGTCCAAATTCTGCTTCTTTTTTTTTAACTTCACTTTGTTCAAAATAACAATACACTTATCATGAAATAACTAAATTCCAGTCTGAAAGATGTTGCATGCATATAATTAATTTTCTAAAGCTTTTATGAAGTATTTTTAACTATATAATGTATTTTAATACTCTGTTAGAATATATCTTTACTTTACTAATAGATTACTTTAATTCTGCCTTAAAAGGATCACATAAGATTAATTATAATGTGAAAAAAACAACAAAAAAAACATAACTCATGCAAGATAAGAAAATTCTGAGTTTCTGTTATTATACAGTTTATATTTTGGTTTTAGAATGTTACACATTACATTTACTAAGCAGTATCACAAAATAAAAAGTAAAGTAGACTGGAGATGAGAAGCAACAAGTTTAATAGTCTGTTATTCAGCTTCATAGAAAAAAACATATAAGTTTAACCCATTCACTGCAGCTGGGACATATATATATACCAGTGCACTGGGAAATATACGTCCCAGACACAGTGAAAGGGTTAAGAAACTATTTTTACTGCTTTGAAAAGGATATCATAGTTTCCAGAAAATCTTTACTCTGAAAGCACATTTTTACAGTTTTCTACCACAAAATAGTTTGAAAAGAAACTATCACTGATTTTAATTTCCTGCATCATATAATATTTCTAAAAAAAAATTCATATTATACAGATAATGTTTTCTTTCACTCTTAAAATGCAATTTTCATACTTTTATTACTGCTAACAATATGTATTATACAAATGATGATCTTAAAACTATATGTTATGGGCAGACAAATTTACATAGAAAATGTTAACTCGTACAATATCATATCATAACACGCAACTTATTGCTAGAAGATTTAATAATTCTTGTACACACTGAATACCAGTACTTAATCTCATGATTAATATATTACACAGAAAACTTAAAAAATATTCAATACACTTATTCCTATAATTAATAAATTAAGAGGGAGCCACTACAATATCTGCACGGCTCCCAGCACTGTACCTGAGATAGTGGCTGAGTTGACTGGTGGCTAGGTTGACTTTGAATCTGGAATTTACCCACCTATGAGCATTTTGTCTCTACCCATTAAAATATACATCACATAAATCTTGTTTTTTGATTTCAAAGTTATCCTCACAATAGAGCATAAATATAAACTAACACTGTACTGTCTAAACCATGAAACTACATACAACTAACTCATATGATTGTCACAGACATGAAACAATACTATTCTTTCAGGCTTTATACTGTGTATGAAGATTAGCATGATAATATTGCTACTTTTATCACAAGCATTTAATATGCATAGCAAATAAAACTGGAATCAGAAAAATGGCTACAGTTTTTCAAAACTATATGACTAAAATAAGTTTGATTTTTGTAGCTTGTGTGTTAATAAAATATCATAATGATCAATTTAATCTCATAGTAAGTTCATTACATTTTTACAGTCACTTCTTTGGTCATGTTACCAAGCTGTTACTTGTATTCAAGTGGCTTGAGAATATTGGCATATCTCCAATTTACAATGAATATTTAAAATATATCAGAATTTGAATTTTCTAACGATTTTATGAAATAGACTATGTTTCACATAAAACTGCAAACTAACTAATGTTACTGAAAAAGTTAACTTTAAAGTTAACATATTTCTAAATAATTATATTATCAGACTGAGTTAAGCTCCTTAAAAAAAACTAACTTGAAAAATTACTGAGTGACAGCCTACAAGTTTTCCACGGCTGTATGTATTTTGATATTCTCTAAGTCCGATGAGGGCACATAAGGATAATGGAAAGTGAATTTAAAAAAAATGACTTTTAAATAATAATCAGATAACCTTATAATTTTTAACTACAAGGTTAGCTAAAAAAAGAAGCTACTTGTATAAAATATCTTACGCTTAATATGGTAATTTTTTCCATGAGAAGCAAAATAAGTGTTTTCTTGTTCAGACATTATGTTCATATATACATGTCTAAGTTCCAAACAATTGGAAATAATAATGATCAGCATACTAAATTACAGAATGAACAAAGTTTATACAAATTTTACTTGTAAACCTTTTATTTGTTTGTGGCTTGAATTTTTTTCACACTTTGCAAACAAATCATATTTTATTACGCTTGTACAGAATTTTGATCTTCAGTGTTATTTTACAAAATATCCAATCACTTTTACAAAAAACTTAATAAGACACCACACCAAGTTTGCCTTTTTACACAAGGCCAAATTAAAGGGAAAAAACCATTTCTTTGTGGCTAGCCTAAATTCCTTTAGTAATTTAAAGAAGGATCTGAAAATACTTGAGTAAGGAAGTACATTAAGGTAATATAATAATAAAAAGGCAGGCAAACAATGATTTAGAAGCATAATGAAATGATATATTTTTGGGGGAAACATGCTACATTTCGACAAAAGAAAACAGACTAATATTGTTTCAAAACATGTAGTATGTTCCTCCAAAAATATACCACTTCAGTATGCTTATAAATCATTGTTTGCTGACATAAAAATAATGACAAGTCAGCCTTGCCTTTTAATATAGATGATTTTTATTCAGCTATCAGACAAAAATCATCACCAACAATAGCAAATAAAGCATATTCATGTAACCTCAATGTCACGCTATATATTTAAAACCAAATATAATTTCAAATACTGCATTTCATGGTTTTCTCTTTATGTTTAATGATAATTAACTCTAAAAAAATCATCACAACAGTGCTGTGATGTATTAGTGAGTTAATGTGCCTGAATAATTTGATTATTCTGGACTTACTTTGTGCTTATGCTATTTATAGAGCACCCTTGAGCTTAACTATATATCACAACAAAATTTCTATACATACTGATACTGGAAGAGTTGTGTGTTTATAAACATGACAGTTAAAAAATAAAGATGTTTACTGTGTGTATAATGTTTGCAATTGACTGTTATGAACACAATAAAAACCAAAGACAGGTTTCTCAATAATTTATTTCTTATCTGAAAGTTTTAAATGGTGAACTTTGAGAGTTTGAAGGAGAATACCCTACCCTTTCTTCAAGATGGTACAAAATACCCAATTCTAGACAGGGGACATATATGTGCTCATGGCAGTGAGATGTGAGAGATTCACTAAAGATAGTTAGGCTTTATATTTTTTATACACCAGCAAATTTATTGACACTGTTTTAAACCCTAAACACTTTTATAAGAATAGAGTAACTACAGAATATGCCACTGTGTGTTTATTAATGCAGCTACTTCCCATTGTATCTCATATGTTCATGCAGTTTTTCCTGAATCGTGTTCTTAGCAACTTTAGAAGCCATTAAGGATATGATATATTTTTCTTGATTCTGAAATCTGTCCAAAATTAAGCTGCTTCATGTTTTAAAAAATGTGACAGTTGATTTCAGCCATTTACAGTTCACATTTATAATGAAAGTCTGATTAATTGTGATCAATATGTCTCTATGCATTATCACGATGATAAAATACAATTTTGTTCTATTAATAAAAACAAAAATGTAGACATTCTACCCAATTTGAAATTGGTTATCTTACAGATTTAATTAAGTTGTTTTATTATACATTTAACATAAATCAGCTATTCAATGAACAAACTGTAATGGTTCCTTTTTATGTCCAAATCATGCATTTTTCATATCTGCAATTAAAGTATTAAAAAATATGAAAACATATTTATCGTGTAAAAACATTATAATTGTGATTTTAAAATTTGATTTTCTGAACTTCTTTTATATGGTTTTCAGGACATTAATAAATATGAATATTTTCACATTGCCAGTACTTTACTGATGTCCCATAACTTCAATAAAAAAAGGACTTATTCCTTTAACAGACATGCACAAAATAATGAACATAACCAAACAGTACATATACTACAATTTGTGTTGGTATAATTGTAATTATAAAATAGGTTAAAATACTTTAAAATGTGTATTAGATTTTTGAAATCTTTTTAACACAGGAAGAAAGTGTAGCTATAATTTCCCGGCCTCCTGAACTAAAAATAAAATGTTTTTCTCAGTAGGCCATTCATTTGGTTAGCTAAATGCTGTATTAACATAAAATTAGAGGTAATATTAAATAACCCAGTTTAATTACAGACATAACTCACTAGATGTGGCTTTATACCTGTTGTAGTTGTTGACCAGGCTGTCCCTGTATTTGGATAGTCTGTCCTTGAGGAAGAGCTTGCACCATTATCTGCTGACCAGCAGTAATGAGATGCGGTTGGTTTCCTGGTGCTTGTGTCACCTGAATCACCTGTAGATTTAAATTCACAGGCATTTTTAATCAAAGTTTTAAATGAAACTGTGCTTTAGTTCAAGGTGGTATGATTGTTTATATTGACATATTTTAAACAGCTTTAAGGTAGGTATTACTGTAGAATATTTTACTAATTTAGGAACTAAGTCTTCTTCTGCAGAGTCAAGTATGTTATGGATTTTGTATTCGGTATATGAATTTTATTTAGTGTGATTCTTTCCTGATTCAGTATTACTTTCTCAAAAGTAATTTATGAATCCTTTGCAATTTAAAAAAATATGATAATAAGAATTTTCAGCAAACAGTATAGGAGTTCAATAATTCATCATTTATATTTTGTCCAGCAAGACTTATGAGATTTAGCAACAAAATTTTTCTAAATAGGTCAAGAGCCAGCCATAAGATGAGAAAAATCATCATGAAGAGCAACTTTTAACTTAAGATATGCAACATACCTACAAATACTGTTAATATATATTTTAGTAAAAATAAGGAGAATTGTATTACTGGCTCACAAAATTTGCATGAGAAGATACACACTAGAATCTTAGAAAATTTCTGACATCTGATAAATCCTTGTGAAAATCTGCATAGTTAGCTTTATGGCTACACAAAGTAAAGTACCTGTGGTTGTGAAGTAACCTGAACTGCTCCAGCAGCCTGGAGGTTCTGCATGACAGTCACCTGTTCAGATGTACCACCATCTCCAGACTGTGCTCCAGCTGCTGCCACTTGAAACTGTTCCATGTGCATGAGTCACTAGTTCCAACGTTTGATGCACACAGCTTTCACAAGAATTATTTACTGGAGAAGAAAAATTTACCATTCATTCATTACTGTGTAAAGACATTTTTGTTTCATTAAATTTCAAACATTGGTAGTTTTTTTATACTTCTATATCATTTACATTTAATCTATGTACAGGGTAAAGAACTGCCAATTTCATCCTTCCATAACTAAAAAAAATATGTATTTACTTAAGTAAATTCAAGTAAATATTTCCAAACTTTAATGCAAGTGATCTAGACATAGTTAGTTGATTTCCTTAAAAACATGATGCAGAAAGTTATAAACCAGTACTAGTCCTCTATCACAGACAATAATTGTTTTATAAAGTTTAGACTTGCTCAGTTTTGTTTCTGTTTTATGCACTCCTGTTTTATGTGCTAATATCAAGTGGCAGCACAGACCTGTACAAGTGAAAGGTTTTGTCTTCCCTTGAAAATGTATTATAGAAATAATCACTGACATAGTTAAACTAGGGTTGTGGAATATCACACCAGAAACTTTTGTTTTGACTTAACAGTGTGGTATAACATTATTCTGATATCTCGTGCTGATATTTTACTCTACCACTTCAGTAGGCTGAGAAGTCATAATAGACATAAAAGCTAAAAGTTAATTATGTATTTATTTTCTTTCACTCACTTGTTTCTTTTCCTTTTTTCTCCATGTTTGAAACTATTACTTGCTTAACATATCCTGGATCTGCAGTTTAGTGTGGAAACTGATAACTTTCTTTTGGACATTAGCATATCTGAATGCCACAGTACAGACTAAGTTACATTTTATTGTAACTATCTAGGATTTATTATTGCAAAGTTTATTTTGAATGTGCTTCTTTTCCCTTTTGACTCTGGTCCTATAAGTTCATAAATTACAGTGGAGAGGAGGAAGCTACAGTCAAGGGTAGAATACAATCTGAAAGTATGAGAAAGACTAAGAAAAGCTCTTCTCTCCTAAAATAGAGCTTTTATCAACAATGGTGAGAGCTATGTTTGCATTCTTGAACTGTCCTCAGAATCAAGAGGTTGACAGGTGGCTAAGAGAAACTTTGGCTGCTGTGCTAGCCATCTACTGGTTACTTTCCATATACAGAAGCATGTAACAATAGGAATGGGTCTGGGCATCCTGATATTCACTGGAACAGTCTCTAAGGGATTTCTTTGTGCTTGCTACCTAGCCAAGGTATTGCCAGGTGCTAGTTTCAGTCAATAAACAAAGATTGTGGTGAGATGTATGAAATGTACAAAGCTGACAGTGAGAAGCTTTTATGCCACAAGGAGTACAAAGAATCTTGCCATGAACCTTTGGCCAGTCAGTAGTCTTCTCAACCAGTAACACTCTGAGACTGCAATAAGCAACTAAGGTCAATAAAATGTGGTAACAAAAAATGTGTCATGCCGTTCTGCTCTAAACTTTTTCCAAGAACATCTCAATTATAAGTCTGAATGTGGAACATGGGGGGCCTTTCTCAAACAGTACAAAAGGTTTGATACCACAAAGGGTTGTCAGAATAGAACATTCAAAATAAGAATCATACAACAGATCTTTAGAAGTATATATGTAAATCAGTAGCAAATCATTTTAAAATTAGGATTATATTAATTTATATATATCTATATAAGTATAAATAATAATTTAAAATTGAGGTTTTATATATATTTAGAAGTTTTTGAAAAAATGTCACTAATAATAACGGGTAAGTAGGGTGCTGCGCATTGAGGCAAAACAATCCCAACTAAGTATACTGTTGGCAAATATCACAATACAATACTTGATGAAGGTAGTGGTGATGACATTTTGAAAAATGAGGTTCTAAGCCATTGATGAATCAATTTTCTGTGTGTTATAGCTAGAATTGATGACTGCTTCATTTGGCAAAATAAAATATCAAAACAAATATATTTTAGAGTTTTTTGTGCAAAAAAACACAAAGGGCTATCTACATATAACCATCTCTAGAGTAAGGCAGCTAGTCAACAGCACTTACCACCAACTCTAGGGCTGCTCTTGTCTGACCAAATAGTGGGATTTGAAAATCATTCTTATAGTGCATTCATAACCCCAAAGTACACAGTGAATTTTGTGACAATGCTAACCACTAGGCCACACCCAGCTCATTATTGATTATCAAACTAGAACAACTGTAGCAAGAGTAGCCTTTTCTGTTTATTTCTTTCCACAATTGCTTTTCTGGTATCATTCAAGATGGTGTTACTTTAAGTCTTCAAGTGACACCTGAATGTTCTATGTGCACATTAGTGCATGAAAGAGTAACTGATGCTAACATTAGTTATTAAGGTTATCATATGTGTCATAGACATGCCATGCACTACAAGTATGCTTTAGTTAGTATAGTATCTGATCTTGCAATACATATGTTTGTTAGTCCATATGTGTTTTTTGTTATATAAGGACCAATTTGTGCATAATTATACACACAAATTTAAGACATAGAAGAGCATAACTCTTGTAAGATGCCAGCTTTCACTACTGCTGATGCTCATTTGATAAACTAATAAATGACTCATTTAGAAAAGTAAAAAACTGTCTTTTCTAAATCTTAAAACTGTACTCTCTTATCTTTAGGATACTGCACATAGAAACCAGAGACCTTTATCCTATTGAATCCACAGATCATCTTTTAAACTTCAACAAGATCACCTCTTACCCTTCTTTTCTTAATATAAAACAAGTTTAAATCTCTATTTATCTCCATAAGAATTATCTTCCATTCTACAATCATCATAGTACTGTTCCTCTACACCCTTTCCAATAAGTCAATATCCATTCTTGCTTTTAAATAAGGAAACCAAAACTGTTCACATTACACACACATACAGAGCAAAGGCTAATGTAGAAAGAAGAATGAATCTGCTATGTATCTTTTACCTTAGTATATTTCACATCTTAATTTATGATATTCAGAAGTTATTACAAACATAATTTTCTCAAATGTTATCCAGTTACAAAAAAAATGTTTGCTTATTCGATCATAACATCCTTAAAACACTAATCTTTTGCAAGAGTGACATGAAACTGGATATCATTTACCTTCAAGACTTTGGTGAAACAATTATCCCTACCTTATATCAAATGAAATTTAGTATTCTTAAAAATTGTACCACTTTGAAAAAAAATACACTTAATCTTTCAGTTATACAGGGTAATTATAAAGAAATTCCCATTTTAAGATTATTTGTTAGAAATTACTTATCCTAACAAGAACCGATTTTCACAAGAAGACTATAAAGTTTATTCAGAAAAATCTAAATGTGGTACAAATTGTTTCAAAAGCTGTCAGATAAGGTGGTCAGTATGTTTACCATCACTATCAGCCTCAGGTCTATCCCTAAATGAAGCTACTGCAATACAAGCACCATGTTTTTCAGAGTGTTCATCGAGTCTCATAATACCCTGCACACTGACAAATATTTTATTCATATCAACAGTATCACGTTATTGAAATAGGGAGACATAAAAGCAAAGCTAGTTTGCATGAGAAGCGATTTAATTATGCAGTAAACATGACTTTCAAACTCCCCTATACCAAACTATCCTGAATAAAAATTGTGTTTCTTAATGTGCCTCTGGTGAAATTTTGTAGTTTTTTAAAAATATAATTACTTTTTATGTGTGCTTTCTTTATAAGAACACATTTTTTCATTAGACTTACACCTAAAACTACAATTTGTTTCTAAACAAAACTTAAGTAATTTGGACATTTTATGAGAAAAAGTAAACTTTATAATTCATTAAGATTTAAGTTTGTTTTTGTTTTTTTTGCTATTTTCTAGAACTAAATTTAATTAACTGGAGTAGTCCTAGATAAAATGATGGCTTGCAGAATTTAATTTTCTTTCTACAAGCTTTGTGTTTGAAAATTTTCTACACAAGCATAAGCATTGATAGCATTTTTCCCATGATTTTTTTTTTTTTTTACAATGTAAACATATAGAAAATAAGCTGTACATAAGAAATACACAGGCAGCCTTGAAGGACCAAATAGTCCTTTTTTGTCAGCAAGTTAAGACTATTTTCTGATTCCCACTCAAATGTAAGATTAACAATATACATTCCAAGTATTATTTTAATATCATTTTAAACATAGATGTATTAATGCAAAAGGAAACTTTCAGGATAAATAACATATTAAAATATAAGGTTGTATTAACTTATGAGCTTTACAATTATTTAAAAGAGATTTACATCAGCCTGTAACTTGCAAGTTTCTATTTTTATTACAAAGCTTGCCACAATACAAGAACCAGACATCTGCAGTATCTTGTTTCACTTATGCAGTGTTTACAAATGTCAGTTATAAACTCTTATGGCCTGTTGTTGTATAAACATGTAATTTAATGTTAAAATGAGCATTTTTTTTAAGATTTAGCAATAACCAATGTAAATTACAATTCAAGTTTACTTACAACAATTTATGACCTTGTGCTAAAATATATTTATTACCTGCTCCAAAATTCATTAATAAACAATTGGTTAATTTTGATTATTTGCTTGTGTATATGATTAACTCATATGAAAGTTTGTGTTATTTTCTAAATTGTTCAAGTAGTATTCAAAATAAATAACTGTAGATGTTTTTCGTCAAACTGATGTAACACAAACAGATATGAAAGTATACAAGCAACATAATCCATCAATGTTAAGTTCAATTTTTAGTACACAAATTACTAGTTAATAACAACTACAACAGTTCAAGCTTCTTTCCTAGAATTGTAGACGTAGTATTACTAGTACTAGTGGGCTCATCATACATTATATATCAATGCTGTCATTATCCTCAGTGAACTAATTACTAAAATAGTAAATAATGAATTCGGGTACACAGAATTTTATGTAAATATTATTAAAACACCTAACCAAGGTTTAAAAACTGACTTATAGTTATACATAGATTTAAAATGTTGATGATATACATATATGTGTGTGTGTGTATAAATCAGCAATAACATAATCAAAATTCAAACCAAGGCTAAGAAATGGCACTAGTTTCTGGCGCTCGGGGTTGACTACGTCAACACTTTTCACATTGCTTTGTTTCACAGTCATGGTTAGGCTTAGCAAACGACTGATAGACCACTTTATATTCTCACATATTTTACACATCACAACTTCACATTCTTAAATTTGTACAAACACTTTGTAACACGTGCTTCCGAAGCATGGTGTGGAGAAAATCGAAGATAATTTGCGAACTTACATTGGATAGAAGCAAAGTGGTCTCTTCTTGATTGGCTATGGGAAACCTGCACCAATGGACAACGAATCACCAGTCATAAAAACAACAAGCTTCGTCTTTATTGGTGCTATTCTATTCATCGCTTCTTTTCCCATTGAGAAAACTTGAAATGGGTATTTTCTCTCTGATATTTCTCTAAAATTATCAATTTTATAAAAAAAATGTTCTTTAAACACACAACTGTTTCTTATTCTATTAAAAATAACTTTCTTCCATTTTGATTTTTTTTTGACGCACTGATTTCTTTTTTTATAGGCATAAAATAATAGATGGAATAGCTAAACTTACTTCCGGAAATTGATTCTCCAGTCATAACACGTCACCATTCACATCAATCGGAATAATACTCGGGCTTTTCCGTTGTATCTAGGATATTACAGGACGGAAAACCCCGAGTGATGTTCAGGTTGGATCTTTACGCCTTCTCACATGGCACCATAAGTGTAAATATAAATAAAGCATAACATATTGCAATCCAGAAGGTATAGTGGTTATTGATATTTCGCTTGCTATATACAGTTTATAAAATTTGTTGGAAGTTAGAAAATGGCGAGAAAGAATCACTTTATAAGTTTCACCCTTTAGTAGTTTTCGAAATTCATATTTTAAGCAAAATATTGTTTTGGTTTATGTTTTCTAATACTTAAGGATGGAAGCACATTATGCTGAAACATCAATAGGTAGGCCACAACGATTTGTAAGCATAAGGAAAACTTCTTTATTCACGGTGGAACATTCTGTATGTTTCGACAGAACATTGCTCTGTCTTATTCGGGAATCATCAATACTAAGCTATTCACAATTTAAATAACTTTATGGAGACAAAAAGATTATGTAATACGGAAATATTGTCAGCAGGTGCCCGGATATAGTTAAAGGTCAACCCTGGTCGATTGTGTGTCTAGTGAATAGGGCTTGCCAAATACGGTTTATGTTGCCATGGCCATTATGACGGTTTACTGAGAGATCGCTAGCTTTGATGATTTTTATAGTTTTTAAATAGTCTGTTTCTTATTTTCTATTCTTTAATAGGCTAGCTTAAAAATATATTAGTTAGGATAAGCTGATGTGAAGAAGGGGCTTTGAAAATAAGTATCATGTTTGTGAATAAACTCTGCTTGTTTTCGCATGGAAATATACTTTTATAAGACGACTCTATTTATTATTTATATATATAACACAACTGATTTAAATAGTTAAAAAAAGGACTAACCGACTCGTTTCTGTTGAATACTTTTCGTATTTTGTCTTCGTATTCAGATATATCTTTTTAGTTCAGGAGCTTAATTTGATTTCTCAACTAGCATTGCACGGTGTATAGTACATTTTGCTGTATTGTTGAAAAACTGAAACTAAGCATACGATGAATACAATACCAAGTAATAGGCTAAAATATGATATCTTATTCAAAAGGTAAGACATTACAAATATTAAATCCAAAACAGAAAAAAGGACCACAGTTGAATTTGATTCAGAAAACACAATTCAATGAGACACTGATCGCTGTCCTACTTTCAAGGGTCAAGAGAGAAGAGGCTAAAGAAGAAAAATATTACCTGGGGGGGGGGGGGGGGAGCAAAAATGTATGAGATCTGAATATGGTAATTATATGAAGATCAGGATGGATAATCCACAGAAAATGTGACAGTCATGGACCTCAAATGGAGCAGTTTCTAAAATATACATGGTAAGATGCGGATATGTAGTGCATAACAGGTATTAACGTATCCCCACCAGACGTAGACCCCCATTCCCGGTCCTCTAGTTCCTCCATCATTGGAGAGAAGTTGGCAGCCTGTGAAGTCTGTAATGGGCTAGGCAACAGTAAAGATAATGGTGTATCTCGTATATAAAAAGCACTGGCAAGTCTAGGTTATACGATAGCATAGTGCTTCATCCAACAAATTCCTAAAGGAAGAAAAATGACAGTGGGAACACGAGAATCTCAACACTGCTGAAGAACTTTATAGACTGAAAGTAGATCTTGCAGGAACTAAGAGCAAGCTTGCCAGTAGAGGTCACTGGCAAGGTATTACCGGATGGACAGGTCAATAGCAGCCCTGAATTATGTACTCGGCGCTTTAACATAGACCAACCAAAATCCTGGTAGTGTATATATATGTATGTATTTCAATGTTATCTAGTTTTAGTGTATAGCAAGAAACATATTGTATCATCATCTTTTTAATATTTTGAACTTCCTCTCTCTCATTCTTTTATCGTCTACAGTTACTTTTATTTTACATATTTATCTTCTGGCTTTTACATGTTTGTCTTCATTTATATATGAACGATGTTTCATTATAGCTACGAATAGGTGAAGGATATCTGTTTATACCCCCCCATTTTTAATATCAAGTTAAGAGATATCATGTATTCTGTATAATATAGAATTAGGTGTTTATATATATATATATTATTTAAAGAGATTATTTTATATTACACAGTGTTTTGAAGGGTTCTATTTCTGGTATGTTTAATTTCATGACAAGTTTGTTTGGTTTGTTTTGAATTTCGCGCAAAGCTACACGAGAGCTATCTGCGCTAGTGTAAGACTAAAGGAAAGGCAGCTTGTCACCTCCACCCACCGCCAGCTCTTGGGCTACTCTTTTACCAACGAATACTGGGATTTACCATCACATTATAATGTCTTCACGGCTGAAAGGGAGAGCATGTTTAGTGTGACGGGGATTCGAACCCGCGGCCCTCAGATTGCGAGTCGAGCGCCCTAACCACCTATTTCGTGACAAAGACTGTCTTGTATATTTGAAAAGGTTCATATTATGACCACTTTTATTTCGTGTGTTTTGAAAGGGTACACTTTATCATATCATAAAAGGGTATATTATTACGCTCAACTTCGATTTTGCTTTAATTTTTTTTGTGTGATTAATCTTCTATCATAGCTTCTGAATACCACCCGATCGATAGATTAATTTTTACTACCTTTAAGCGCTTTCTGTGTTATATGTCTCCTACTTTTTATATCCTTTCGATTTCTGTTTATTCTAAAGATGATGGTATTTTGTTTGTTTGTGGAGTTTTATTTATAATTAATCAGAAAACGTGTTTGATAAATGTTAAAACATTCGTCTGTGTTTATAGGGTTTTTATATGTATGTATATATAGTACCTCGCAAAAGTGTTCACACCCCACCCACCCCCTCAGCGAAGTTTCCTCTGAGTTTGCAATCATAAAACTTTCCAATGGGACTTTATATTTAGAATCTCCACAATCTACTCCAAACTGAGAAAGCTAAAAAACGCTCATATTATGTAAGTAAGTTAGATTTACAAAGAAAGGTAGAACACTCTCAGTTGCATAAGTATTCAACCCCTCCCTGACTTAGGAGGTTGAATACTTATTGCAATCAGCAAATTTCAATTTATATATTTTCCTTGCTGATTTTGCTGACATTCAACCTTCTTCACACTAAACAGTATTACGTTTGATCATTAAAGTTTGAATAAAACTGGTTCATTAAAGAAACGTGTTTACATTAATTGTATTTCATGAAAATGAGACATTATAGGTAGAGAGTGAATACTTTTACAAGGCACTGTATACATACGTACTGGGCATAAATTGTATCTCCTGAATTTCACATTTGAATTGTTTATTTTATGTATTTTATTCTATAATTCATTGTATAAGGTCTTATATTTCAAAGGGTTTTCTTATTTTGTTTTATGCTACATATATTATTATTAGTTTTTGTGTTACCACGCTTTCCATTCAATCTGATCACGCTGTTAATGTTAAATACGAGTACAGGATGGCATATTGTAGCATCATTAACAATCACTGAGACGTGATAGTCTTTGTTCAGTACAAACTGATTAGATCTTCTCTCTGTCACAGTAGCCAGTCTGAGTTATATATACTATTTAATTGAGGCCAGTCAAACAAGTAAAATTAAATCATATCTATTTTTGAAAACATGTTATTTGTACGCTTGTGTATATGTACTTATTTTCCTGTCCAGGTTAATTTTAACTCAATGCATAATATTTGTAGAACCTACATTTTACTAATACTTGATACTTTTCTGCCAGATATTAGTGAGCTAGAACATCTTAAGGTAGTCACAGTTGATTGCTTGGAATAAATTAGAATCATTGAACTGCCAGATTTAGAGGATGGTAGAACAATTTTCTTATGCTATGAATCGTTCCTCTTTTTTATTTTAAACTTGTAGATTTTATTTGTAAGCCTTCTCAGTACTAGTAAACCAACAAGGAAGAAACTCACCCCCAGTTTTTAGGAAAATTTGTTAAAGGACAAAAAAATTAAATTTAAAATTATTTTAAATCAAAATGCGCTTAGAATGCACTACAACTCTCCAGTCCGTGTGGAATTATATAAGTACCATAACTCTTCACATCATTTTTGTTTTCATAATTCGCATCTAATATTTTGAGACTCACTGCTTTAAACTACTGCGGGTAATTTTTCTTTCTTCTCACCAGTTGTTCTACCTGAAGCTAGTGATGTCCATGTAGAGATCACAAATTTGTGTTTATCCTCTAGCTTCAACAAATTTTACATACCACAATGATTATTCTATAAGGCTTATAATAGCTTGGCACTCTTTCTGTGTTATACCCTCTTGGAGTGAAGAGTGCCCATTTGAAGGAGTGGTACAGAGACTTGTGCAAGTTAGTATGAGTTTAAAGTCTTGGAGGTTTATCTGCTTTGAATATGTTGTAATTTTAGAAAGAACTGATTTTCTTTAAAGTGATAAGACAGGTCTGCAGAATAATGGGAGATTTTTCAAGATATTAACTATAAAATAATTCTCTATGTTTTGACTAACTAAACATAAACGTAAAAGCACAATAAACATGAAGCAAATGTATTTTAATTGTCACGATGGACAGTCGCTTTTAC